CCAGTTAACAATAAAATTTACATACATTACACATATAAGTAACGACTTGATTTAACTTCATACATTTATGCGAAAATTGAGGCTCATCTGTCTTGCCTTGACGCTGGTGGTAAGTTCTTTAAATGTCTTAATGAATCAATCGCTTAGACCACCGCAAGTACTTAATAATTCCCTCGATATTAACTCCCATACTGAAGTGACAAGACTACGGTATATACCGTCTTATATTCCTAACTAAAAAGTGAGAAATAAAAAAGGTAAATTTAAATAATCAAAAAACCCGACTGCTTAAATATTACTTAAAATAAAAACCGAAAAACAAAAAAACAAGTATAGTAATCTATAATTTTGTTAAGTAAGGAACAAATCTACTTTAACAGTCGAGACCCATTATTAAAAAATTGATCCATTCTTGAATATCTAATAGGTCCCGACTGTTAAAGCTTTGTTCCTTACTTAACAGAATTATACACTACTGGACTTGTTTTTTTTGCTTTTCACTTTTTATTTGCATTAATATTTAAGCAGTTTTTATTGTATAATTTATGTTTATTGTGTTTCGGAGTAATGTCTTGATTTCATTAGAACCAGCATATTTTACTTGTAGAGCCGTATCGCACAACATATTTACCTAAAGCAAAGCGCAATACACCTAGGCAGCCCCTATCTGCACACTCACTAATTTTATATTATATATTAAAGTTTATATATTATACATAGCGATATTGTCACATATGGTATTAGTAAGTGAGATAGGGAGCAAGTTTTCTGCTAAATTGGAAGTAACCTTCACCTTACAGAAAATCTCAGTAAAATCTATATATATATAACACAAAGGTGACTGACTGACTGACTGACATAGTGACCTATCAACGCACAGCCCAAACCACTGGACGGATCGGGTTGAAATTTGGCATGCAGGTAGATGTTATGACGTAGGCATCCGCTAAAAAAGGATTTTGATCAATTCTACCCCGAAGCGAAGCGAGGGCGGGCCACTAGTAATATAGTTGCGTTTCTACAGGTAAGTAATTTTCCAGGGCTCCACGGGGTAGGAGATTGTGTCAGGGCAGGCAATGATGCGAATGATATTTTTATATCGCTAAGTTCAGACGGGCCATAAGCTTTTTTATAATCCTTTTAATATAAAAAAACCTGGCATGCTCCCACCTCAAATCAGGACTCAAAAATGAAAACGACATTACAAAATAAGCTTTATTTGTCATAACAATTTGTGTTTTTTGCGCTCCACAATGCTGCTTTGCTCACTTAAATTACGAGTCATAACTATAAATATTAATTATAACTTTAAATTATAATAATTTTATTTACAATGAAATCCAGAGCAAAACTCATTTCATAGGTACACAATATAATTTGTAATTATTTACATGATGCTTGCGAAGGCAAAGTGTTTTCTTTTAAAACTTAAATATAGTTAATATTAATTCTGAACACACACAAATCTACTAAAATAAAAACTATGTCCTACCAATTTTCATTGCGTTAATCGCGAAAACCGAAATTTTCTTTAAATCATGAAATATTACAGTAATTAAGACAGATAAAAACTTTTTACGAAAACAAATACTAAATAATGAAATTAAAATAAATTCGATTTTAAAATCGAATTTTATCCAATAATCCAATGTAAAACAACAAAACTTGGAAATAACATTCATAAAGTTTTATTTTACACAATAACATTCCATATATGTAATTGTAATTAATTTGTTATTTGTCTATAATGTATTATGATTTTATAATTTAATAAGTAACTATTTCTTTTGCCGGTAGAGAAAATCAAAGTTTAAGAGAAATTTTGATCTTCCTCACAAGGTTTGTACGTTTTTTTATATTTTTTGGTGATATGATCAGTGTATTGTAAGTTATATTATATGTAATTTCCAATTCGGTGCTTAACCATCCTTTAATAGTTACATTGACAGTTTTATTACATAATTTAGTAAGCACTAATATCACAAAATATGGCAGGTTATTAAATATCAGATTAATAAATTTATTCCCTCACGTTAAGTGTGAAGTTAAACTATTAACTACGTAATAATTTCATGCAAATAATATATTATATTTGATTTAAATTCACCAACAATACAACAAAATATCATACAATTCACCTAAGCGTATGTGTATTTTATACATTATAATTATTTCTAATTAAATATATGAAAGTAATTATATAGTTGTTTAAGCTGAATAAATAAATTAAAATAAAGCTTCTAAGAGACATACCAAATTCCAAATATTTTACAATGAAAAAGTTATTTATAAAATTTACAACTTTTAAATACTCGTTCATAATATTGCCAAAATATAACAATTTTCTAAATCGAACATTAAATGTTTGCTATCATTGGCAACAAAAAGGTTTTTATTATCAATAAAATTGCTATATACTTGCATTCACTATGTGGAGAAGACTATTTAACATATTATTATACTTACAATCTAATAATTTGTACAGAACACAATAAATATAGTCACGCGTTTCCGGAAGCAAAATAGAAATACATAATACTTACACAGCAATAATCCGGCAAAGCTCAGTTTATTTAACATAGAGACGCTTTCATGACATCCTTCCAAATTATTACAATGAATCAATAATATTATTTATATGTTTCAAGCAAAAGCCTTGCCCCCGTCTTATCGCTTAAAATTTAATACTGTTTTTATTTTAAACACCACCCCGTAATAATATAGCCAAATATTTTAAATCTAGTAGTTTCAGGACCAACTTTCCGATCTTTAGGTAATTTTCTTCACTATAACTCAGTTGTTTGAAAACTGTATTTAAATGTATACATTACATTTAAATGCAGTTTTGCAATATGTAATAAGTATTTTTTAAGAAAGATGAGGCTCTTAAAGTCTTTTAATCTTCATCAAAGTTTTCTAATGTTTACAAGTTGTCTACAAAAGCTTGGATAATATTAAGGATTTTTAAATTCAATTATTTAGAATCATCATCGCTAATAAGGCTTCGAGTTATAAGTATCGGTCAATATTACCTAATTATTGAACCGTAGTTAACATTAAATTATGGGTAATCGATGGCTTTTATGTAAACGCTACGTCGATACGAGAAAATTATGTGACTGTTCTGGAACAAGGCAAACACTTAGTAAAATTTATAGCTATTTGCAGACAAAATATCTAACTTTATTACCAGACTGATGTCATTGTTTGATAAATGAGATTTTCTCGTTTTGGAAACGTTCTGTTTTAAGAATGTTGCACCTATATCCTTACATCCAAATTACTAGGACAAACCCAGAGAGAACATATGCTGATACTAAAATTGATTTATCTGGAAAAATTAGTGAAATGTATCGATTTCCTATTTATGAATTAATTTTGGAATTACTTAACATATTTATATTTTGTAGCATTTACAATAAAACCTAGAATACTAGACTAGTATCGTCATTAAAAATCGCTCAAATGTTCAACAAGTTCACAAGTTATGTAAAGCATAAGATCACTATACTTAAGTTTATTTACTATCACTTACTACGCATATTATGAAAGGTTTTTTTATACTCATTAGGATTCAAGGCCTCATATTTTATTTCAACGGAGGTTTAGTCACCTGTCAATAAAAATGGTTTTATAACAGAAGGATAAAATAAAATTCGTAATAAAGTTCCTTACACAGGCCTTTTCAAACATTGTTTCTTACACATTGTTGTCTTTATATTAATGAGGCAATTTTAATTATTCAAATAGGATTCCTTCGTAAAATAGAAAATTATCATTACCTATTTGCTAATATTTTTGTTTTGCTCACGTTATCTGCGTTAACGGTTAATATTCGACCTTATACGAGACTTGTTGAATCCCGTATTAGGAGTTGCATTCCCGTGAAAAATAACGTATCCTAAACACACAAAAAGAATAACAGTATTCCTCCAGTAAAATTCATTGTTAAAAGTTGTAGTGAAATTAATCAACTCAAACTTGGTTCTAATCTAAAGTAATGAGTAGGAACTGCTACTTGACTCTACTACTGGTTGAAACTTACAATTATTTCAATTTAATTTACGTAACGAAGCACATGATACATTAGGCAAACTTTCTATTCATATAAGTTGTCAAAGTTATACGTCGTAGTGATCATCATCTGTCATAAATTGTTTGTCATGCCATCCACATTTCATTAGAGCAATTTTTAATAAAGACATCATCCAGCAAAGAAGGCATACAGTACAGAATACTGATTCATTTACTTTTAATACTTAATACATTTAATGATTGTAACTTTTCCTGTATCAGTATTCTGCAGTTTATCATAATTTTCTATTAAACGATTTCAATGTGAGTCCAAGCACACAGTCTTTGATCTTATAAGAACTCTAGCATTGTATAAATTTCATTAATATTTTATAACTCTTAAGGACAAGTCTCCATTTTACCTTCCGAATGACCTAGATTCAAATTGTTGATTAGTTATATTATTTTGTTTTTATACGTCATTTGTATTTAACCTGAAATTAATCTAGAATAATGTCGTATTTAGCACTCTTTCGTCTTGCAGTGGTAAGTGGAGATCATTTCTTTCCAACCTTGCATCATTAATACCATTTGTTTATATGTATTTTCTGTACTGGCAATCTATATCCATTGTATGACTTCAGAACTAAATTACTTCTTAATTCGTGCGATAAATTCGCTGCACTAAAGGTTATCTAATGGGAGATAAAATTACCCACTGATATCTGGTACCACACAATACATAACATTATTACAAGTTGTATTTTTTTTCAATAAATTGTAAATCTTTCCATCAAGTAAAAAACTTAATTTCAGTTAAATTTGACAGTTTTGGGTAAATTTAACTTATGGCTGTCCGTACCTTAGAATATAGCAATACTATATACACTGTATGCTTGGACCCTGATAACTGCCCTATGAAAGTCAGTTTAGAGTTGCGTGTAGTTGCGTGGGGAGGTGCGACGGCGGGCGGCGGAGGCTTGGCGTCAGAACACGTCGTCGCTCGGGTCGTCGTCCAGCTCGCACAGGAGTTTGCTGCTGCAAAGATAAATGAAGAAGAGACTGTTAAATGTAGTAATGTAGAAAGAAGCATAGATAGTGGTTATACATCACTGTCCTTTGCAGAGCGTCTGCTAGTAAATATATAAACAAAATTAGTCGAAGTTCGATGTACAGATGCTTAATCGAAATTTTAAGTTTTGCTTGTTTCCAAAATCATTAAGGTCTACATCAAAAAGAAACAGGATTATCAATTTCGTTCTGATCATTGTTTTAATTTTGTAGCAGTTACTCAGATTAGATAAAAAGCAAAGTTACAGTTAAACAATTTGTTATTGACTTTTCCAGACTCGTCTTTATTAAAAATTTATTCTTTATAGTTGTAAACAATGTTACCCATAAAATTTTTGAAATATCTTATAAATAATTTTACCGGCAGAAATAAAAAACTTGATCAATCAATATAATGAATCGTTTAATAGAAGTCTGTGCGGAAAGAGAATGGGCGTGGCGAAAAACGGAACTAACATTAAGATTTTTATTTGGCAATCAATCTGTAAAATGACAAAGTTTTGTATTGATACGGATTTGTTTATTGTTGTGATCTCTTGTGGTTTTTTGTATTTTATCATGTCTAAAAGGGGTAAAACCTTACAAATACCGTAGAAAAGCACTACAGCGCCCTCCAATCTATATCCCATTCTCTTTCCGCACAGACTCTACCATCCAGTTAAAAACCTATGCAAAAGCATCGTTAAAGACCAAAGTTCACAAAAATATGAAAATGAGTGATTATTGCAGGGTTCCACTAATGATGCCACACCGAAGAAGAATACATTTGTATGATATGATTCTGATTTTTCGTCGTTTATAAAATTTTGATATTTGTGAATCATATATGAATATTGTTCTCAGAACTAGAAGTACTCAGGTTAAAATTTACAATATGCTAGTTACTACTTCATCAATAAATTGAAAGTGCTGAGAATTGAAACAGTTTTAGATAATACATTTCTCAAAATGTTTTTTTAAAAAATGGATGCTTCTAATATGATGTTGCTCTGATTTATTTTCCAAAGTGCTTTCTAAAGAACAAAAAAAGTATATGTATATATTTTTAACTACTATTTTCATTTTATTTGCAATACTCACTCATGTGCCTAAGTACTAAGCATTTGCTAATCATGCAATTTGAAAAGAACTTGTGTTTCTTGAAAAGGTAAAATCTAAAGTTTGACTGACGGATACAGTAATAGTTTTCAGCGGAGTGAACAGTTCACTCGATACAGTGCAAACAATATGAAACATACTTGTGAAATTTAATAATTCCAAAAATTTAATCCACTACGACGTTCCATCGCCAAACTTGAATTTGCTTACGGACCTGAAAGTCCATCATTTTCCAAAATCAATATCCTAAAAGAAATTAAAAATTACTACATATACATGATTTGAAGATCTAAGGGTATGAAGCATAGGAACATAAATAGGACGAAGCAACATCTTTATTGAAAAATCAGTTTACGAGGTGCTGCTTTCGTTCCTAATTTCTCTAACAAATTAATATATCCAAAGAACTTTAATTTACAAAACACGACCTGGTCTTCAAAACTTGTAAACAACATAACAACGTCACTACTGGTAACAAAAAAAGTTATTAAATACTTACTCCTCTTTACTTGTGAAAGATTCTGCGTGTACTCGCCTATTGCAGGCTCTGTCACAGCATCGACAGTGCCAATAGGCCAACACACTTAAGCTGAACACAAAAACAGTCGTCGGCAACACCAGAGCTAATATCAAGCCCCGTACTGTTGACTCCCAGGAGTATCTCGCTACAACCAAATCAGCTTTTGTTAAACTATAGTAGCATGGGAATATTTTTGGAGCTTTTGGTCCAGCATAATCGTTCGCGAACACCGAACAGTTCACTCTTGGTGGGTAGCCACAACCCTCAGGGTTTATGAGGAATTTCAAGTCCGTTTCATCCCATTCAGTTGGTATCGCCGACCCTTCAGTGAACGGTCTCCTAGAGAGGTTTACTCTGATCTTATGGCACTTGGTGTGAGCTGTCGTGCAGCCTTCTCTACATGAAGCCCATGTACAATTGGTCAAGGTCTCAGCGTGGACATGCTCGGAAACAGCACAAATGCCAGCTTCTGGGACGAACTCAGCTAGGATCGTCTGTATCGCGGGCTCCACCACGAAGGGTATTAGAAAGAGGAATGCAAATACTGCAAGTATGGCCGATGTACCGAGGCATAACGACGTGTAGAATTTGAATCTTTCAAAAAAGTGCGATAGTAGCTGCTCCCTCGTTGGCTCCAATGGCTTGAATTCTGGGCTCCCTGGTTCTGCAGAAGCGCCCATAGGTAGAGTGGACCTCTCCGAGGCGGCAGGGGAGAGGCTGGCACGAGATCTGCTCATCGAAGACATCGGGGAGGTTCAGCCAGTGAAAAGCATTGCAAGCGTTTAGTCGTCTCTTAGTGAACTAGCCGGACCCTCGCGAAGGAGGGGAACGCCTGGAAAAAGAAATGGGGATAAATTAGAATTATCGTTTATTATTTAATTTAAATAATTATTAGCGTGCAAATAATTTAAAAGTCATGAATTCGTTATATCTTGATCTTCCAGGGACTAGATATTCATTGCCAGTAATTTCAACGCAGTAGGTAGCCAGTAAAATTAGAAAATTGGCAAATAAGACACTATTACCTAATCTAAGCCACTTACGATCGGACACAGTTACATACAAGTTTAATAGTAATGACAATACAATTTAACGTTTAATTCCTAGCACTAGGAATGAAATATTCAATACTCACTATGTTAACGGTTTAGAATTCGTGACCTATAGACATAAATTGTGCTTAGGTCAAGGATACGAAGTGGCAGGTGTTTATACCACTTCGAAGTTGTAACGATTCTATTTTGGTGACAAAGGCTTTTTTTTTTGTTAAGTTTAATTAATTTCTATTATTTGCTTAAACAGAAGAAAGAATAACATTTATTTCATCATAAGTATGTCACACTGTTATGACTAACTAAATAAAACTTAGTTCCAAATTCTAATTATCAATAATTCCTCAAATATATATATGACAAAGTAGGACAAACAAAAGTAGCTTTAAAACGGATTTATTTAAACCGTGTTAATACACCTGTAAGGAAATCGTCAAAGAAATCATTATTTATATCATCAACACCTAAGCCTTATAGAATTATAAATAGGCATCGGTTTCAATACGTACTATTCATTTGAAAAAGATTTACGCTCTTATCGAAAAATACAAAAAAATAGAATTGTTTAGAAAATAACTCCAAACATTCCAAACAGCTTAAAATATCTCACGTGACTGATCTCAGAGTGGGGAAACAGGATCGTTCGGAGACATCTGCATTTCAGCCTGACCGCTGGTGCAGCTCTTGAACCGCATCTTGGCGTCATCGCCCACTTCCACAGTAGTCTGGCACAACATCAAAGTTATACACGAAACCACCACCAGCACTGTAGGAAGAACTAATGCTACCAAAAACTGACGATACGTCGTTTCCAAATCGAATCTTGCCACGACTGTATCTGGACTATTCTCCATATAAAAGCAAGGAAATCTAGCTTTCGCATTATGATCGGTGCCGTCGCGTCCATAATCTTTCAAGAACTCTTTGCATTCGTCAGCTAAAGTGTTAACGCAGCCTTCCAAGTTAATCATCAAACGACTGTCATTGGCCATAGTAAGTTCAACCTCAGAAGGAGCAATGAGACGATTAGGCGTAGCTTTCGAAGTATACAAATACTGAAGGTATGTGAAATTAGTCAAGTCTGATATGTCAGAGCGCGGCAGCAATGCGGCATTGATGCAGTCGACCGCCACGACCCCGGACGTGCCATTGTGTACCGCATGACACGACAACATCAACACTTCCTCCCCAGAGTCATTCCAGACCACTTGCCCCCCTTCTTCTTGGGAAAGTTTCGCACATTTCGCCAGAAACACTCTATCACCACTAAGAACTATGACGTTTTTATTACGGGTCGGTATGTCAACACAGCGCCTGTCGCAATTGTAAGGCGTTCGTATCTTTCTACAAGTTCCTCTGTTACAATAAAACAAACCGTGAACGTCTATACAAGTAATTTTTCCTCTTCTACCGGAGCACTTTAACGGTGGGTCTGTTTCTCTGAATGCACACTCGAAGGCGTCCGTTATGTTTATACATTTCCCTTCCGTACAGTTGAAAGTGCCTGTGAGATTCTTGCACTCATCGCGGATGCAATGATACTTCTTGGCGTTCTCTTGGTCGATTCCATAGCAAGTTTTGTTAGCAGCACTCCCGCATTCGGATAGCAATAGCGACGATCCATTTTTGCGAACATTTACGTAGATTTGTATGCACGCGCCAGAGGTTTTGCTAAGGCACCACTCGCCACAGGAGCCCCAATCGCAGTTGTCTTTGTTGACGGCTCGTGTTGTGGTGCACATGATTGGCGTGGGGTCGATACCTGATGCGATCGCGCGCGTATACGGCATGTATATGGCCACTGTGAGGTACACGAGTGACACAGCGCTCAGCACTGCTGTCATTTGACACACGCATATCGTCCCGCATATCTTTTGGTCTTGCGGTGGTATTACCAAGTCCTCGACGGGTGTGGGCTTCGGCATGATGTATTGTACCGACAGAGAGCCGCGTTCTTCCACCACTGACGTCCGATTGTGTTTCTGCGCGTGCGTGGTGGCGCAATCGATCGGGCGCAGTGCAGGCAACCCCGACGGAATGTGGCATATTTATTTAATTTCATTGATGTCAATGTCCTGACGTTTAGCGATTTCTACAATGACGGAAATGTAGCAACCGCAATGATAGTACTGATAACCTATTTTACCAAATTAGTAATTAATTTGATCAGCAAGGCACTGGTGGCGACGAATTTAAAAGTAATGAGGTGGAAAATGTTACCATTGTTATTTAAACTTCAGAAAGATTCGCATTACCAATTAACCCATATTATTTTTGTTTGTATCACGCACTTTAATGAAAATTAATCAGCGCAGTACTGATTAAGTAAAAAGATTTGTGATTGTTTTATTTATTTGCTAAAAGTACGCAAATTACTTACTATGTTTTTATCCAATATGTTTCTTGTTATTTGAAATGCACCTATTTATAGAGAAGTAGCACTAAGTGTCTATTATATACTTAAACAGTTTTATAAATTCTTGAATAATTCAGTGACATAGGTATTAATACATTTATAAATAGTCAATAAAGAGGTAAATACACTGGAAAGTTGATTCAATGCAGCACTTACCTTTAAAAACAAATGTATTATAGCACTGTCACTAGTATTTTTGCAGTATTCTATTTTAAATTGCTTACAAACAATCTCCTATTGCGTTCAATATTTGGAATATTATGAATTCGCTATACTCATTGTGTTATCAGAGGATTTTTGTGTTTTCTCAGCCGTATGTCTACTCCTGTTTAAGACAACTTATGTGAAGATAGTTGCGGGTTGTTCTGCGCAATGCGGAGTGTTGGTGCCGCTCTGAAGTTGGCACAGATGAATATAAGTACTCCCCATACAAAACTGCGAATTCGCATCGCATCGCAAATATCTGATTATACTTACTTCCGATCTGATTCGCATCGCCTATACCTGCGGTATTACGTCACACTTGGTGGCAATATTTAAGTCCACTCTGAGACTTCCCTTGTACGATCGTTTTTGTAAACATGGTGACAATATACTCAAAAGTTCTTAAAATAAGCTATGCCAATTCTAAAATAATCTATATATTTAACTTATTCTGTTCTCAAACCATAGTTTAGTATTTTCGTTTAAAATAGTTCCCATCAGCGTTCATAATCGCAATAAACGAACCCAAAGTCTTCTTATCTTTTATGTTTACATAACAATAACAGCAGTGCAACAAATTTTTCCCATTTCACTATTACTAAAACACGTCCGATACGGCTGACTACCATTGAAGGTATGCTCATCTTAAGAGCGGACGAAAGCTGAGAAACATTTGAGAAACAGAATTTTACAAAAAATATTGCTGTCATTTAATGGCAAATACCGGACGATAGGGACAACAGTAGTTAGTTCTGAAAATTGGGTATAAAAATTATAAAATTCGATGTTTGGCTCTCGACGATTTCATCCTAGAAAGTTAGGTATACCTATGTTAAAAAAATACCCATAGAATAATAAATAGTTATACGATGCCTCTATGTTATACTTTTTTTGTAAATGCTTATTAATACTCCACACTGGAGGTCTTCAGTGGTAATAAGGTGATCAATAATTCAATGTACCATGTCTTTTAGCACGGAGAGCGGGAATTTCTAATACAAGTATATATTAAAGAATTTGTATTTGTATTTGATAAATCTTTGTTTATTTTGGGAATTTTTCATGGCTTCTAGTCTCTTTGAAACAAGTTATCGAAAAAAGGAAAACAGGAGCATAGAATGAGTGAAATTATATTTCATGTATGAAAATTAATTTTATATCTAATAATTTCTAATCAAGGAGGAATCAGTCGAGAACGTTTGTATGGAAAAACATTGCCCGTCTCCCCTCTTAACCAAAGCTTTGCCGCACGAAATCGCGTCGCATCGAATCGCAGTTTTGTGTGGGAGCCCTTTATGTACCGTTGAAAGTTGTCGTATAATGCCTTAAAAGTTATTCTGTGTCTGACAAAACTTTCTTCCTAGCATTACTGATTTTATTTCAAAAATTTGCCATAAAGCGCTTTGCGTATTACCAAATCTATGTATATCAAAGAAGTACAAGCAACATGCATCGTTTACGCAAACTGCAAGTTTAATCAGTAGATATTTTATTTTAATTTTTTTTTTTTGATTTCACTAATAAGTTATATTGATTGTGATTGACAAAATAATATAAGTTTTCAAAATATTAAAATTTGCCAATAGTTCAAAAAAGTTCATGTTGCTTAAACTTTTGATTGGTATATTAAATCAATGTTCCCTTATTATGAGGGTTATTTTTGTATGAAGGAATTAGAATATTAAAACACTTCTCAATGTTTTCTTTAGTTACGAGCATCCTAGCTAGCCCGAGCTAGGCTTAGCAATTCCTACCGGCGGCGTCTGCAGTCTTGAGCACTCATCAATTCGCACCAGACCTTGTGGTTAGGTAAGCCATTTTTCCATCTATACTTCCGCCCTTAAAGAAGCTATACTCTAAAACCGTAGGATCATCATAAGTCTAATGGCTTAGAATTTTATTCTGTACGTTACAATTTACTTACCCGTACAATTCCTCGTTCATAATGGACACATTAAATTTTTCACACATTTTAACATTTAGAGAACCGATAACACATACTCGATCAACTATCACTATATCTTATTATATGTTATTGTTTACATGTTGGATTAGAAGCGCGTCCTTTGTCTTAGAGTTTCAAGTGTGTTTTGGTGTGGTTTGGTTAGAGTCTATTGGCGGAGCGCATGCCTGTTTCGATGCCAGGTTGTGGCATATGAGCAAGTCTGCAATATTTTCATCGACCTTCTCATGACTACATGTTATGTTGGGTTTGGTGATTTTATGCGTAGTTGTTTTAAAGATATCTTTATTGTTATTTTTCTTTAGTATTTTAATTTCACATATCGTCATGTACTAATGAGGACTGGAATTTTGCCGAGGAACCAATAACAACATGCGATATGTCATTGGAAAGTGTGTTTTATTTACTAATTGTTGTTATGGAGAAGTTTCCCAAATCACTGTGTGAAAAAAGTATTTCCCAATAAAGCTAGCCAAAAAATAATGTAATACTTTTTATTTTGGGATCATGACTGTTTTGACGACCTCCGTGGCCGAGTGATTTGTACGCCGGATTTCAAGGTGTCGCCTACTGTTCGGGTGGGTTCGAATCCTGGTGCGGGCAAATGTTTGTGTGATGAATACGAGCATTTATGCTCCAGTCATGGATGTTTAATATGTATTTCTATATGAATATACATGTACAGTATACGAGTATGTATTCTATCCGTTACCCTAGTATCCCATAACACAAGCCGAACAGAAAAACTAGCCAAATCATATTGTGCGAAGCAATTGCACAACGGCCTGTATATGTATAACTGAAGTGAAAATATATGATTAATAGGAGATTTGCACCACCGGTCAAATATGCCTCAGAATGTATGGGGCTAATACGAGGCTGTATACAGTCTCGCCATGTAAGGGCAAGAAAATATTTATGTGACACTAGCTGTAACCCGCGGTTTATTAGGGATATATTCCTGCAGTAAAACGTAGCCTATGCGTTATGTGTGTATCCAGGGTGTCAGCTAACTCCATACCAAATTTTATTAAAATCGCTCCTGCCGGTTTGACGCCAAGATGTAACAAACATACACACTCACACTCTAACAAACTTTCGCCTTTTTTTATTTTTATTTATTTTATTTTTATAGATAGGTCCGACAAATGACTCCACCCCACCTGATGTTAAGTAAAGGTGAAGTCCAGACGCGAAGATAGCTGATACAGAAGTTCTAACTACCACACCAGCCATCCTCACCCTGCCGGCCTGCATGTTGCTTCTTCACGCCTCTTTTAAAGGATCCCAAGCCTTTATAATATTAGTGTGATTTTGGTAAGCAGGGATGTAGTTTTCGCATTGGGATTAGTGCGATATAATGCGATTCAACTAAGAATAGGATCGACGGGGCGCCATATTGTGACGTCATAGCTGTAAATTCAAACGAAAAAGTTAGAGTGAGCAAAAAAGTGTTTTATTTAATAAAAGTTATTTACTAAGATTAAGTGAGAAAAAACATCCGATTTTTTAATAAAATTTATTTACTAAAATTGAGAAAAGAAAATAACCGATTTTTAATAATATTTATTTATTAAGACTGTGCGAGAAAAAGCATTAATCAGAATTAAGCTCTTCAATTCCGCTCATCTCTGCATTACCGCCGGAGTAGTTATGAATAATCATGCACTATTACTAGGTCACATACGAACATGCATCCTATAATATGTAAACCAAAGTTTTAAATCGAGTTTCTGAACGCAACTTAAAGTGACATTTGGTTGACGATTTAGGTTATCAAACATTCATAGCCAAAGCTCAATTAAATGAAAATAAAATATCAACCAATATTAATTAACAATATTTATTATTGTTTACAAATGTTTGGTTTTTATTCCATAATTAGCTGAGTGCTAAAAAAGGGTTCCAAGATTTTTTTGCAAGCCGTACTTTTCAAGCGACATTAGACAGATGGAGGTCATTGGCTTTCCTATTCTCATTTGAATCGCATTATAGCACAATAGTATTGCACTTGTTGGACAAGAAGCCGGTCAATACGGAGTTGCATCTATAATAACTTCTATTGTATGGTATCTAGGTGTAGGAAGGCATTAAAAATGAGCTTTTTATTTCTCCAGGCGGAGATTATATCAATTAATAAACTGAAATAAATTAATGTTTAGCATAAAAATAAACACATCAATTTGCAGAATGAAGTCTGGCTTTATTGCGTCGTAACTATTTTCACACAGCACCTTGGGACTTTCCGCCTCAACAAAAGTTAAAGTTCATAAAAAAATATTTCCAATGATATGTTGTTATTGGTTCCTAGGCAGGCTTCCATACATTTTTTCCCGTTGTATTCTTATAATGCTTATGGTCATATAGTCTTATAGACTAGTGTTGCAAAGAAAAAACTTTAATATAAAACTAAAAGTTATTTAGTTCTGTGTATTTATTCTTTCCGATAATTATAAAAAATATCGCCTTGACACAGGGTAATGTACAAGTAAGTAACTTGAAATGTGATAATTAGTAATATTTGAAATTTTTAAGAATTTAATTGCTAGATGTTTAAATCTAAAGAAAATATTACAAGAAAAAAAATGTTAAGTTATTAAAAAATATATTAATTGACATTGAGGGTTATCCACAATTGGAAGAGATGGCGCTGCCTTGCAGCCTAAGAAATACTTGAGAAAATTCGAAACTGCCATCAGGGCTGCGGTAGCATAATGGTTAGTGCATTCGCCATATAAGTTCGGCCATAGTAAGTTCAACCTCAGAAGGAGCAATGAGACGGTTAGGCGTAGCTTTCGAAGTATACAAATACTGAAGGTATGTGAAATTAGTCAAGTCTGATATGTCAGAGCGCGGCAGCAATGCGGCATTGATGCAGTCGACCGCCACGACCCCGGACGTGCCATTGTGTACCGCATGACACGACAACATCAACACTTCCTCCCCAGAGTCATTCCAGACCACTTGCCCCCCTTCTTCTTGGGACAGTTTCGCACATTTCGCCAGAAACACTCTATCACCACTAAGAACTATGACGTTTTTATTACGGGTCGGTATGTCAACACAGCGCCTGTCGCAATTGTAGGGCGTTCGTATCTTTCTACAAGTTCCTCTGTTACAATAAAACAAACCATGAACGTCTATACAAGTAATTTTTCCTCTTCTACCGGAGCACTTTAACGGTGGGTCTGTTTCTCTGAATGCACACTCGAACGCGTCGGTTATGTTTATACATTTCCCTTCCGTACAGTTGAAAGTGCCTGTGAGATTCTTGCACTCATCGCGGATGCAATGATACTTCTTGGCGTTCTCTTGGTCGATTCCATAGCAAGTTTTGTTAGCAGCACTCCCGCATTCGGATAGCAATAGCGACGATCCATTTTTGCGAACATTTACGTAGATTTGTATGCACGCGCCAGGGGTTTTGCTAAGGCACCACTCGCCACAGGAGCCCCAATCGCAGTTGTCTTTGTTGACGGCTCGTGTTGTGGTGCACATGATTGGCGTGGGGTCGATACCTGATGCGATCGCGTGCGTATACGGCATGTATATGGCCACTGTGAGGTACACGAGTGACACAGCGCTCAGCACTGCTGTCATTTGACTCACGCATATCGTCCCGCATATCTTTTTGTCTTGCGGTGGTATTACCAAGTCCTCGACGGGTGTGGGCTTCTTCATGATGTATTGTACCGACAGAGAGCCGCGTTCTTCCACCACTGACGTGCGATTGTGTTTCTGCGCGTGCGTGGTGGCGCAATGAATCGGGCGCAGTGCAGGCAACCCCGACGGAATGTGGCATATTTATTTAATTTCATTGATGTCAATGTCCTGACATTTAGCGATTTCTACAATGGCGGAAATGTAGCAACCGCAATGATAGTACTGATAACCTATTTTACCAAATTAGTAATTTATTTTATCAGCAAGGCACTGGTGGCGACGAATTTAAAAGTAATGAGATGGAAAATGTTACCATCGTTATTTAAACTTCAGAAAGATTCGCATAACCAATTAACCCATATTATTTTTGTTTGTATCACGCACTTTAATGAAAATTAATCACCGCAGTACAGATTAAGTAAAAAGATTTGTGATTGTTTTATTTATTTGCTAAAAGTACGCAAATTACTTACTATGTTTTTATCCAATATGTTTCTTGTTATTTGAAATGCACCTATTTATAGAGAAGTAGCACTAAGTGTCTATTATATACTGATATGCATACCTTCAATGGTAGTCAGCCGTATCGGACGTGTTTTAGTAATAGTGAAATGGGAAAAATTTGTTGCACTGCTGTTATTGTTATGTAAACATAAAAGATAAGAAGACTTTGGGTTCGTTTATTGCGATTATGAACGCTGATGGGAACTATTTTAAACGAAAATACTAAACTATGGTTTGAGAACAGAATAAGATAAATATATAGATTATTTTAGAATTGGCATAGCTTATTTTAAGGACTTTTGAGTATATTGTCACCATGTTTACAAAACGATCGTACAAGGGAAGTCAGAGTGGACTTAAATATTGCCACCAGTATAGGCGATGCGAATCAGATCGGAAGTAAGTATAATCAGATATTTGCGATGCGATGCGAATTCGCAGTTTTGTGTTGGGAGCACTTATATTCATCTGTGCCAACTTCAGAGCGGCACCAACAAGTGCAATACTATTGGGCTATAATGCGATTCAAATGAGAATAGGAAAGCCAATGACCTCCATCTGTCAAATGTCGCTTGAAAAGTACGGCTTGCAAAAAAATCTTGGAACCCTTTTTTAGCACTCAGCTAATTATGGAATAAAAACCAAACATTTGTAAACAATAATAAATATTGTTATTTAATATTGGTTGATATTTTATTTTCATTTAATTGAGCTTTGGCTATGAATGTTTGATAACCTAAATCGTCAACCAAATGTCACTTTAAGTTGCGTTCAGAAACTCGATTTAAAACTTTGGTTTACATATTATAGGATGCATGTTCGTATGTGACCTAGTAATAGTGCATGATTATATTCCACATATTGACTTCTGTTTTGTAAGTAGGACACAAACCAATTGTGCACTAACCTTCTAACCCCTATACCATACAACTTATTTAATAGGATGTGGTATAATACGCGGTCGTACGCCTTACTCATATCTAAGAGTAGACCTAACACATGTTTTTTACTATCAATTATATTTAAAATGTGTTGGAAGTAGTTGAATAAAGCTAATGACGTCGATTTGTTTTTTCGAAATCCATTTTGGCTATCATTGAATATCTTAAATTTTTCGCAAAACAAATACAAACGGTTTGCCATCGCCATTTCATATATTTTGGAAAACGTTGTCAATAGTGCTACTGGACGGTAATTATTGGGGTCTCTTTTGTCGCCTTTCTTATGAAGTGGTTTAATTACAGCAAGTTTGAGCATGTCCGGAAATACACCTTCAGCAAATGACTGGTTTATGAGGTACGATAAGGGAGGTGCTAATTTTTCAGCGCATTTTTTAATCAAAGTTTTGGGCAGCTCGTCATATCCGAAACTTTTTTTATTTTTCAGGGATTTTATAATTTTCTCAACTTCCCTTGTAGTGACTTCACTCAGATACATTGAATTTTCGGATTTTTTAACTACAGGTTGGCCTGCTGGTAATCTAGTCGATGAAACATGAGTATCACCTATAGAGATGAAGAATTCGTTAAAAATATTTGCTATACATGTTGGGTCTTCTACTACCTGTTTATTTACGTTTAATTTTAAATTTTTGTAACCTTTACTGGGAAGTTTATTCGTATTTTCTTTGGTAATTTGCCACATTGTTTTTACTTTGTTATTTGATGATTTCATTCTATTTACATTATTATTATTTTTTTTTATTTACTGCTCTTTTTAATATTTTTTCATATTTCTTATAATTTTCTTTGAGTATGGGGTTGTTAATTTTTGAATTCCGTATTTTAAGAAGTCTTTTATTTTTGCATGATTGTTTAATTCCGGTAGTAAGCCATGTATTTTTACTATTTTTGCTTATTTTTATCTGTTTCTTAGGTATTGTTTTATTTAGAACCAATTGTATACATTTAGAGAAAGAGTTAAAGTTTTCATTTGCGTTCTTATCTTGAGTGATTAAAATACTAAAATCTACTTTAGATAACTCTTTTATGAATTTGTTCATATTTTCTTCATTGAAAATTCTCTTATTAGTAAAAAGTGTTTTGCGGGGTTGTTCATTATTGTAAGGAATATTCACGTATACACCTCTATGATCAGAGAGCCCAAGCTCCTTTACGCTGACAAAATTAGGATGTCTACATTTAAAATTAGTGAACACTCGGTCTATACATGTTTCACTATGACTTGTTACCCTGGTGGGTTCTTTGACGTGTTGATAAAAGTTGAAACTTGACATTAGTTCTAACAGAGTATTGGATAGTGTTGATGAGACCAACATATCTATGTTAAAGTCGCCTACGATTAAAATATCTTTTCTGTTAAATTTATTTCGACTCAGCATTTGCAAGAGCTTTTCAAGGGAGCTGAAGAATAATTCTGGATTTCTTTTTTATCTGGAAAGTATATAGTTATTATTATTAAATTCAAAGTAATGATTTCTATAGCACAAGTTTCAAAAATAAGTTCTATAGACAACTTAGAAATTTCGCAAATTTCATGTTGCTTAGACTTTTGATTGGTATATTAAATCAATGTTCCCTTATTATGAGGGTTATTTTTGTATGAAGGAATTAGAATATTAAAACACTTCTCAATGTTTTCTTTAGTTACGAGGATCCTAGCTAGCCCGAGCTAGGCTTAGCAATTCCTACCGGCGGCGTCTGCAGTCTTTAGCACTCACCAATTCGCACTAGACCTTGTGGTTAGGCAAGCCATTTTTCCATCTTTACTTCCGCCCTTAAAGAAGCTATACTCTAAAACCGTAGGATCATTATAAGTCTAATGGCTTAGCATTTTACTCCGTACGTTACAATTTACTTACCTCGTTCATAATGGACACATTAAAATTTTCACACATTTTAACATTTAGAGAACCGATAACACATACTCGCTCAACTATCACTATATCTTATTATATGTTATTGTTTACATGTTGGATTAGAAGCGCGTCCTTTGTCTTAGAATTTCAAGTGTGTTTTGGTGTGGTTTGGTTAGAGTCTATTGGCGGAGCGCATGCCTGTTTCGATGCCAGGTTGTGGCATATGAGCAAGTCTGCAATATTTTCATCGACCTTCTCATTACTATATGTTATGTTGGGTTTGGTGATTTTATGCGTAGTTGTTTTAAAGATATCTTTATTGTTATTTTTCTTTAGTATTTTAATTTCACATATCGTCATGTACTAATGAGGACTGGAATTTTGCCGAGGAACCAATAACAACATGCGATATGTCATTGGAAAGTGTGTTTTATTTACTAATTGTTGTTATGGAGAAGTTTCCCAAATCACTGTGTGAAAAAAGTATTTCCCAATAAAGCTAGCCAAAAAATAATGTAATACTTTTTATTTTGGGATCATGACTGTTTTGACGACCTCCGTGGCCGAGTGATTTGTACGCCGGATTTCAAGGTGTCGCCTACTGTTCGGGTGGGTTCGAATCCTGGTGCGGGCAAATGTTTGTGTGATGAATACGAGCATTTATGCTCCAGTCATGGATGTTTAATATGTATTTCTATATGAATATACATGTACAGTATACGAGTATGTATTCTATCCGTTACCCTAGTATCCCATAACACAAGCCGAACAGAAAAACTAGCCAAATCATATTGTGCGAAGCAATTGCACAACGGCCTGTATATGTATAACTGAAGTGAAAATATATGATTAATAGGAGATTTGCACCACCGGTCAAATATGCCTCAGAATGTATGGGGCTAATAAGAGGCTGTATACAGTCTCGCCATGTAAGGGCAAGAAAATATTTATGTGACACTAGCTGTACCCCGCGGTGTTACCCGCGGTTTATTAGGGATATATTCCCGCAGTAAAACGTAGCCTATGCGTTATGTGTGTATCCAGGGTGTCAGCTAACTCCATACCAAATTTTATTAAAATCGCTCCGGCCGGTTTGACGCCAAGATGTAACAAACATACACACTCACACTCTAACAAACTTTCGCCTTTTTTATTTTTATTTATTTTATTTTTATAGATAGGTCCGACAAATGACTCCACCCCACCTGATGTTAAGTAAAGGTGAAGTCCAGACGCGAAGATAGCTGATACAGCAGTTCTAACTGCCACACCAGCCATCCTCACCCTGCCGGCCTGCATGTTGCTTCTTCACGCCTCTTTTAAAGGATCCCAGGCCTTTATAATATTAGTGTGATTTTGGTAAGCAGGGATGTAGTTTTCGCATTGGGATTAGTGCGATATAATGCGATTCAACTAAGAATAGGATCGACGGGGCGCCATATTGTGACGTCATAGCTGTAAATTCAAACGAAAAAGTTAGAGTGAGCAAAAAAGTGTTTTATTTAATAAAAGTTATTTACTAAGATTAAGTGAGAAAAAACATCCGATTTTTTAATAAAATTTATTTACTAAAATTGAGAAAAGAAAATAACCGATTTTTAATAATATTTATTTATTAAGACTGTGCGAAAAAAAGCATTAATCAGAATTAAGCTCTTCTATTCCGCTCATCTCTGCATTACCGCCGGAGTAGTTA